ACCTTTATAAATCTTACCTACTGCACACCTTTATAAATCTTACCTACTGCACACCTTTATAAACCTTACCCTATGTACAATCTCCCAACGTCCACCCCCCCCCCCTGTCCACGTTGGGGGAGATGGACACAGGACAAAGTAGGGGATAGCTGGGTCTGGGTGAAGTACGGTGTGACTTTATGTTACTGAGGCGTTACGCTAGCCGTGAAGGCCGACCCGGGTCACCCCGAAACATCGCTGGCCGACCGGGCTCTGGTGAAGTTACGACGGGCCTAGCGAGCCGGTGATGGATAAATAACTGCTAAAACCCCAAAAGGAGGAAAAGAAATGGACAGACTGTAACGGAAAAAGGAGAAACGTCAAACGGACAGGAGATAGAACAAGGAACATTGGAAGCTGGAATGTCTGCGGATTAGGAGACAAGGAGCCACAAATCATTGACTTCCTAGAACCTGGAAAGACTGAGATCCTGGCAATTGCTGATGTCAGGAAGAAGAAGTCCAGCAGGAAACAGGGGTACAAAAACTACATCTTACTTTGGAGCCCAACAAAAGGAACGGAGAGAGCAAAGCATGCAGTGGGATTTATTGTTCACCAAGAAAGAGCAACATGCATAACAGTAGATCTCAGAGCGGATCATCCGGATAAATATGTCAGGAGAGGTAAGACAATCACAGACATATATATTTATGTATATATGTACAGATATATGCACCATGCAATGACTCATACCCCGAAGAACAGCGACAACAGTTTTACGTTCAACTGAGTGATCTTTTAAACACCGTGGACGACAGAGATAATGTGACAATAATGGGGGACTTAAACGGCAGAGTGGGATCAAAGAAGACGACGTGGGAGAGATACATGCGGCCACACAGTGACAGGGAAACAGATCTGTTACAGTTGTGCGCAGAACATGACCTCGTCATATCAAACACCCTCTTCCAACAAAAAAGGAGTCAAGTTAAAACTTGGTACAAATGGAATGACCTAAAGACAGCATCACAAATTGACTTTATCCTGGTCAAAACATGGAAACTAAGAAACATCAGAGACTGAAAGAGTGATTCCCATCTACATCACAGACACTGACCACAGACCAGTCATCATGACTGTTTACACACCAAGCAGGGAAAGGCCAGAAGCAAATACAGGACGAGAAGGACAATAATACCCATTCTAGAAGAGAAAAGTGGGACAAATTTTGAGTAGTTCAATACTCCACTTCTGTCTGTCTGTCTGTCTGTCTCTCTCTCCAAATAAAACACTTCAAACATAATAAGTCTTACCAGATCAAAAGTGTCCTTGCTGTCAGTGAAAGAGGAAGAGCGGAATAACCCTGACGTCCTATCTCGTGTTCCATCCCGTGTCCCGTCTCGTGTCCCGTCCCGTGTCCTGTCTCGTGTCCCGTTCCGTGCAGAATCTCGATCCAGACTCAGCGACCTGCGGCGGAGGTGCCGTGCAGCCAGGTCATCCCTCACCTGTGTGTGGTTTGGTGAAAAGGGAGGAGGGAAAAAACAGATGTTCCAAATGTTCCCGTCTTGCCACAGTTGTATCAATCGACATAGGAAAGATATCAACGGAAAATTGACGGGAAGGGTACAGTGGAGTCCACTTATAACGAGTCCTGAAACAACGAGAAAAACCCCGTTTTTTCTCCTTCTTTATCTTTGTAAATAAAATACTGCTATTGCGCAATCAGACCGTCACGCGAGTCGTTTATAACGGAATATTGCTGCTGCTGTGCACAGCGCACAGACCAATTACATATTATAAAACCTCGCCAGTTGAGAAAGTTGTTGATGATCCAGAGAAACAAGGAATGGGAGAGCCCACGCGAACCAACAATGAAGGCCGGAGCGAATGAGTGGGGAGTGAGTGGCATGCGCAGACAAGCAGAACGCATCGCGTGATAGGCCAGCCCAGTCTAGATTATCTAGGCATACCGTGCCTCGCACTTCTCTGGTGGGGGATGGAGAAGTCACAATGCTGTGATAGATGTATGGAGTGAATGTGTGACTGTGACGTTCGCAAGCAGACGCAACGCACCACAAGGTGTGGTGGGGTGGGGGACAACACAGCGGGCGAGTTAGCCTAGAGCCAGAG